AATAGAGGCTCCATCTGTAGAGAACATTTGAAGTTCTTCTCAAACTTCTGCATTTCATCCTCACACACAACTACTTTTTATTCGAGGGCGTCTACTATCACCAGGTGAGGGGTACAACTTGTGCCCCCTCTTATGCTAACCTTCACCTGGGGTGGTGGGAACAAAATATTGTTTTCTGCCCTCAATTTGCCAAACATACAGTATACATGTGTGTGGAAATGTTACATAGATGATGTGCTGATTGTCTGGACAGGCTCAGCTGACCAATTCACTAACTTTGCAGTTGAACTTAATAATAATGACATTAATCTCAGATTCACTCATGAATTTGGAGGACAGAAACTGAACTTCCTGGATATCACCTTAGGGACTAATGATGACAATCAAATTTCCTCTACCTTCTATAAAAAAAAAACCACAGCTACAAATAACTTTCTGAATTGGGAAAGCCATCATCCCCCCGCGCTGAAGAAAGGGATACCAATTGGCCAATATCTTGGGCTGAGAAGGAACTGCTCTTCTGTAGAAGAGTTTATGAGTAAAGCCCAAACTCTCAGGACCCTGTTTAAAACAAAAGGGTACCCGAATAAATGCATTAAGAGAACATAAAAAAGCCAGAATGTCATGAGGTGTATTGGAACCTTCGACTCAGGCTGGGCTAGGGTCAAACAAAGTCTAGAGAGATATTGGCCACTTTTATACCAGGACCAACATATGAAGGAGGTTCTGACTCATTTTGTTTCCCTTATGGCCAGAAGGGGTCGCAACAATGTTTCTAACAACAACCAGACATCTCCGGACTGTGTGTGTGGTTGTTTTTTTAAACATTGTTGTTATTCATAAATTAATTTAATCTATAAATTAATAATTTAATGTATACATTAATTTACTGTCTTCTTGAATGCAATAAATTTAATTCCAGAATTATTTGAGAAAGCAAACAAAAATATGAAATAACAAATGCAGCATTAGTTTTATTTTACTTCTATTTTAAGAAAACATTGTAAGTGTCAATTTTCCTACACATAGCTGAACATGTGCCATATTCCTTAGGGGCCATATTTACTTCAAGTTGTTTTAAATTCCACTGTTCCATGTCTATCTTTTTCATATAGCTATTAATCTGTGCTTGTTCATGGCTATTCTCTTTCTTGCCTACTTATCCATCTTACTTCTTTGTTACATGACCTTTGACTTTCACTATTCTTTTTTAGCAACTGACCTTGTGTGATATCCCTCACTTATTACAGGTTCAGCTGATTCATTATAACCAGGAGTTATACAGTAATGTCAGCGAAGCATCACGGAACCCTAATGGCCTGGCTATAATATCTTTATTCATTCATGTGAGTTCCTATATTTTCATGTATTGAGCAAACATATTATATTATGAGAAATGTTTTCAATATAGCATTTTACATATCACTGTCATTAATGCTGAGACTGTAATGAAATGGCACCAAAGCTATTTGTAATGTATTTAATGTTGATAAATCTTAATCTAGTTGGACAGTGAATTGATAACAAGGTTGTATCACACTAAGATATACATTTCAAAATGTAAAGGGACACTCTAAGTAGCAAATCTACATCATCTTAAAGTAATTGTGTTGCAGTTAGAAGTGGTCAAGTCATTGGCTTATCGGGAGTCGATAAACTGCTAATAAACTTAGGTGGCTAGAAATAAATTGAATACACACATAGGTAAAAAACCCAAAAACTTCTTTAAGGTTAATTTAATTTATCTTACTTAAATACTCCATATAACACAAAGTCAGCAAAGTTTGGAGATTGTAATATGCAAATCCAAACTCCTTTTCATTTAAGGGATGCAAGGGTGTGTTCTAGTAATTTTTAGCTGATTTACCAATTTTTTTTTAAAATTCTTTATTTAAGCAGCAACACATGAAAAAGCATCATATATTTGCATGACTTGCACAGAAGCCGAATAACAATATGTTCCGATACAATTACCATGCGTGTCGAATATGTTTATCATCTGTAACAGATTTTCACAATATATATATATATATATATGTATATATATATATATCAGAAAACATAAAACCATAGGTACAACAGGTACAATTGAATGAAGTACTGGTAGTATCGTTGCTCGGTGTCTACACGGACTAGTGTGCATATTGTTGGGTCCAGCACCGAGATGCCAAGAGCCCGCTGGCACCCTTGAGTGTCCCCTGGCCAGGGCTCCTTTGTGGACTGTAAGCCTGGACACTGTCCCAGGTTCTCCCCCAGAGCGCCCAACCAGCAAAGTTGCAAATGGGTGATTTATCACTTTATGCAACTAAAATGTAATTTAGAACAATGTATCCTATTTACACAGATACATTTATTGAAGTTTAGAGACATGTTCCTGCGAGTTGATATAAATCCACGTACACCAAGAATACTGAGCTTCTAAAAAATTAGGAACACAATGATAGAAAAGAGAGACAAATAGATTTGTGCATATAATAGAACTGTTCCTCCTAAATAGGGTCACTTCTTCGAAGATATGTAATCAACATTTCAAACATATCTATAATTATGAACACTGACCTAGTTAGGGGATTGATAAACTACCCAGAATGAGATGTGGCATAGTTGAGTTGGGAAAATGTAATCTATATATCTCAAAAAAGAAAAAGAATGAGATTAAATTCCTATACTTGAAGTTGAACTTCCACACTAGTACGTCTGGTGAACCAGGGGCCAGACTGTGGGTGCCTCAAGAAACGTTTGGCCAATTTCTCAAAAGTGATTTGTTCAAGAACCAGGGGAGAGGACCTGCAGCTTAATGGCATCATAAAAACTCCACGCACATGTTATGGTATCTATTATTATTTGTACTTTTTTTTTTTTTTTTTTTACAAATGTTCAATAAATACCATACTCAAACTTTTTAAAAAAGGTAATTTTTGTTATCACTTTGATATTGTATATTTATTTCTGATAGAACTAACAGGCCACAAAACTGATGTTAAACGTAATTTTACATGGTCCAAATAAATGTAAAAGGGAGAAAGTGGTGTTAAATAAAAACTTTGTGCAAATTTCTGTTGAATGGAAATCAAAAAAAGGGGTTAATGTCACTTTTGCACTTGTATTTTCAAACCACTGTGCACAGAGCCAGTTTTCCCATTAGGCAGACAGAGTAGGCACGTGTCTACAGGTGTCTATCCTCTAGGCCAGTGGTAGTCAACCTTTTTCTACCTACCGCCCACTAATGCATCTTTTTGGTTGAAAAAATGTCCTTACTGCCCACCAGTTTTCGAGCAAGTGCAAAATATTTTTTAGAAAGGAGGGTGTTTTAAAAAAAATAAATGTACGTACATTTATCTTTTTATTTCTACTTAATGCATGTTTATAATGTTTTTAACTTTATAAAGTTTAATGAGAAAACAAAGTAAATTGAAATTACCTTTACTAGTGATTAATGAGATCCTTGAGGTTGATGCTGCAAGACTAAATATTTGATATCTGGTTCGATTTTCGTAAGGAACAAACGAAGGTCTCCTCTTTCAGTGATATTCAGACGACTTCTCTGTTTGCGCATAATATGATTTCTCATCTGTGCGTCAGCTCATCTCATCTCCCTCCTCAATTCCCCTCCCCACCTTTTTTATCCCTTTTTTCTATTTTTTAACCTTCCTTATAGCAATGCCCAGTAGGAAGGCTTAGCTAGGTAGCCCACTTACTATAGCCCACTATAACAGACAGGCACACATACATACATACATAGAGACACACACACAAGACACACATACATACAGACAGACAGGCACACACATGCATACAGACACACAGACAGGCACACATACAGACAAGACACATACAGGGAGTGCAGAATTATTAGGCAAGTTGTATTTTTGAGGATTAATTTTATTATTGAACAACAACCATGTTCTCAATGAACCCAAAAAACTCATTAATATCAAAGCTGAATATTTTTGGAAGTAGTTTTTAGTTTGTTTTTAGTTTTAGCTATGTTAGGGGGATATCTGTGTGTGCAGGTGACTATTACTGTGCATAATTATTAGGCAACTGTGGCAAAACCGACCTCGCCACGTGTCCTTGGAGGGGGCTGCTTGCCCGCCTCTTGCCTTTGGACTATGGCCCTGCAGGTTAAACTGTTTATTTTCCCTGCAGAAAGGCTTATTCGTGTGATCTGAGTGCCTTTCATCTAATAATGTGCAGTCAGATCCAAGCTATCTGGGGATATGTAGAAATGTGTGTTTTATGTACTAAATGTGTCAGTATGTAATTTTATGTCTTTTACTGTCTTTTTGTCTGCCATGTGGGTAATGGAGTTTGGTTCTGTCTTTGGAGATAATTAGATTCCTTCTCCAATTATCTCCAGGGCAGAAGGGAGGAAGCCAGGATGCATTGTGGGGATGTTTTACTTTTACTGTTTGAGCCAGGGGGAACAAAAGATACTTTTACTAACTTTTGAACCCCTGGTCTGATTCATGCCATTTTTAATATGTTGTTCCCCTGAATGGATTGATTGTGAATATGTATTTTTATGCGAATGTGATGTATATTTTGGGAGTTATGAATGTTGTGTAAAAACTGTATTTTCCCTATCTATGATAATTGTATTTCCCTGTGTGTACAGATAATTAGTTTACAGGTAGAGGGGAGGGCTATGTGTGGGATGTAACTATTGTGTGATTGGTTAATGTACGTTACTGTGTGTGTCCCTCCCCTTCATGGGAGCACCTAATAAAAAGGGCTGCAAGCTAGCAGCCAGAGAGTTCTATTTTTACCCTCAACTTGAGTCCTGTCTCTTATTGGGGAATCTGCTACAAGGGATTGCTAGGCATATTCCCTTGCTATAATCACTGAGCTCTTGTAAGAGCTTGTTCCTGCTTCGTTCTGAAGGGAGATAGCTGCAGCCTGCGGTGCTTATGGTGTCTGGTGGAGTGCTTGGAGTCCTCTGGAAGCGCTAGGAGCATCTTTCAACGGAGGTACCCAGTCGGGGTGCCAGGTGATCCGTTACATTGGTGGCAGCGGTGGGATGGCATCCTAGTGCGAGGAGAAGCAGCTCGGAGACACCGGTAACGTGTGGAGTTGTGCAGCGTCCTTATCTTCAGCAACATAATGGAACCAGCAGTGGCTACAGCAAGCATGGCGTATAGCTACTCCGTACTAGAGTTTGGTACGATGGTAGGGTTGCACCTGAAGTTTTACGGACCCAATCCAGAGGAGAAATACGTGCGGTTCGTGTGGGACATGGTGACCCGGAACCTACAACACAGGGCGTTGAGGGAAGGCCAGTGGGCACGTTGGGAGAAACTCCAGCCACAGGTAGAGTGGGACGAGGAAGAAACCGAGGTGGCCGGTGGAGAGGGGACCGAGGTCTCTCTACCAGCCCTACAGGGATGCTGGGCACCCGGCCCAGATCCCCAGCGGCAGTATGTTTTACAGGGAGGGGAGACAGTCGGTCTCACTCCCCAGCGGCAGAATGTGTTATTGGAGGAAGAGACAACCGGTCTCCCTCCCCAACAGCAACCAGAGGTACCCGAGATAGAGGACCTCATAGACTGGTCCTGGGAGGACCCCCTGCAGGCAGGTGGAGATGGGACCGAGATCTCTCCACCGGCCCTACAGGGATGCTGGACAACCGGCCCAGATCCCCAACTAGAGCTGGAGTTACAGAAAGTGGAGAGCATCGACCTCCCCCCCCAGCAGCAGCCGGAGTACCAGGGGGAGGTAAGTGATATTTCTCCTCCCCAGCCAACTCCTTGGTTCCCTGACCCCCCAGCAGAAGAGCTGGCAACTGGGCAGATCGCCGCTGGCCTCTGTCCTCCCTTGTTTCCTTCCCCTGAGCCTGACTTTCTACAGGCTGCCCCAGCAGAAGGTGCCGTCCTTCCTCCCCAGCAGCAGTGTGTAACCCAGGGAGCCGAAGGTGTCGTCCTTCCTCCCCAGCGGCAGTGTGTACCCCAGGGAGCTGAAGGTGTCGTCCTTCCTCCCCAGCGGCAGTGTGTCCTGCAGGGAGCAGAGACCGTCAGTCTCACACCCCAGCAGCAGGACAAAATAATGAAAGGGGAGACAGCTGGTCCGCCTCTCCACCAGCAGAGAGAGTGTCAGGGAGAGGAGCCTGTTAACCCCTCTCCCCAGCGGCAGTTGACAGTCCAGAGAGAGGAGCTTGTTACACCCTCTCTCCAGCGGCAGCCTAACCCACCAAGGGGAGATGTTGAGCCCCGCAACTGTGCAGATGGGACCGTAGTCTCTGCGCTTACAGCCCAAGGGGTAGAGACGGTCGGTCCTGTTCCCCAGCCCCAGAGCTGTGTACCCAGAGGGGAGACGGTCGGTCTCCCCCTCCCACAACCAGGCTCCAATCAGGCTACTTCGGTGGTAGCACTGGCACCAGGGCAGAGTACCGCTGGTCTCTGCCCACTCAGCAACCCACCAAGGCAGTCTACCAGCTCCCCACACAGCCGTGGTGAGGCACCTGGACATGGACAAGTTGCTACTTTATCCAGGTGGAGTAAACATTTATTGTGGGTGGGCTGTACTGCTGTTTGTGCTTCGTGGGTGGGTTGCTGGACTAACCAGGGCACTGACCGGCAGGAGGTCAGATACCCTGTTAGTCTGGGGGGCAAAGGGGAGAAGTGTGGCAAAACCGACCTCGCCACGTGTCCTTGGAGGGGGCTGCTTGCCCGCCTCTTGCCTTTGGACTATGGCCCTGCAGGTTAAACTGTTTATTTTCCCTGCAGAAAGGCTTATTCGTGTGATCTGAGTGCCATTCATCTAATAATGTGCAGTCAGATCCAAGCTATCTGGGGATATGTAGAAATGTGTGTTTTATGTACTAAATGTGTCAGTATGTAATTTTATGTCTTTTACTGTCTTTTTGTCTGCCATGTGGGTAATGGAGTTTGGCTCTGTCTTTGGAGATAATTAGATTCCTTCTCCAATTATCTCCAGGGCAGAAGGGAGGAAGCCAGGATGCATTGTGGGGATGTTTTACTTTTACTGTTTGAGCCAGGGGGAACAAAAGATACTTTTACTAACTTTTGAACCCCTGGTCTGATTCATGCCATTTTTTAATATGTTGTTCCCCTGAATGGATTGATTGTGAATATGTATTTTTATGCGAATGTGATGTATATTTTGGGAGTTATGAATGTTGTGTAAAAACTGTATTTTCCCTATCTATGATAATTGTATTTCCCTGTGTGTACAGATAATTAGTTTACAGGTAGAGGGGAGGGCTATGTGTGGGATGTAACTATTGTGTGATTGGTTAATGTACGTTACTGTGTGTGTCCCTCCCCTTCATGGGAGCACCTAATAAAAAGGGCTGCAAGCTAGCAGCCAGAGAGTTCTATTTTTACCCTCAACTTGAGTCCTGTCTCTTATTGGGGGAATCTGCTACAAGGGATTGCTATGCTAGGCATATTCCCTTGCTATAATCACTGAGCTCTTGTAAGAGCTTGTTCCTGCTTCGTTCTGAAGGGAGATAGCTGCAGCCTGCGGTGCTTATGGTGTCTGGTGGAGTGCTTGGAGTCCTCTGGAAGCGCTAGGAGCATCTTTCAACGGAGGTACCCAGTCGGGGTGCCAGGTGATCCGTTACACATACATACAAAGACACATACATAAGACACACATACACACATACATACAAAGACGCATACACAAACAAACACACATGAAATATTTTAGTCACCCTCCTGTTTCCTACCTTTTAGGTGCAGGAGGGTGACTTTCCCTGTGGTCCAGTGGTGGCTCAAGTGGATGGGAGTCAGAGTCCCCACTGGAGTAGCCAGTA